CCCCAATGTTTCACAGATTCTATTTGCTTCCAACTGTCACTGTCAGATACGTTGCTGATCAGAAATCTTTGTAGTGGGAATAACATCTCGCATCATCGTACTAAATTTAGGATGGTGCAAGTTGATATAAACTACTTAGATTACTGATATCAGGGCTCAACCTTCTTCCTAAGGTTATTGATAAATTTTAAAGTTTGGGATGAGAATATTTTTTTTATTTGTTTTAATGGAATCACAGAAGTCAATCAATTCTGAAGAAGCCATGCTTAGCACTTGGTTAGAATAGTGTTAGTACTCTGGAGAGAGTAATTCAGGTAATTCGATTACAGGTCGGGCGTAGACTTGTAATCTTACAGACCAGGTCAATGTTTCTTCTGTATAGAGGAATATATTCTTTTTTTTTTAAGAAGTAAAAATTTCCAATGCTTTCAAAAAAAAAAAAAGAAGATGTTGGATAGCCATTTTGTCTGAAACGGTATAGGGTTTCCTGCCTAGGCAGGGGGTTGGACTAGAAGACCTCCAAGGTCCCTTCCAACTCTGCTATTGTATTGTATTGTATTTTCCACTGGCAAAAAAAAGAACAGTTTTAAAGAATGCGGTAGAATGTCCAGCCAGATTCTAAGTGAAATGTGTCCTTTCTTTACAGATAGTCCTTCCTTAGAAAGCCCTTTGGGGGGTAATCCTGTTACTTAAACGCTCTCTGATGCAAATCCAGTTAAGAGATAAAGGATGGTAAGCTGAGGAACAAGAAGATTGGGAGAAAAGATTAGGGAGACCCAGAGATTATCTGCTCTGTCCTTGCCAGACTTACAAAGAGAGTATGGCTTAATGAGAAGCCGAGGGAACATACAAAGATCCATCTCTATAGAGCCTGCGCCCTGAGCACTCTCTCCTACTGCAGTGAGTTTTGGACCCTTTACGCACGGCAGAAGGGAAAGTTGAACACCTTTCATAGGCGCTGTCTCCGACGTATTCTTGGCATCACCTGGTATGACAAAGTTCCAAATAGCACAGTCTTGGAACACGCTGGAATCTCTAGCAAGCATACACTGTTGAAACAGCGACGTCTACGCAGGCTTGTGCATGTCGTGAGAATGGCTGATGGTGGGATTCCGAAAGATCTCCTGTAGGGAGAATGAGTGCAGGGAAAGCGCCCCAGAGGGAGACCACAGCTGTGATATAAGGATATCTGCAAGAGGGATCTAAAGGCCTCAGGAATGGACATTAACAGCTGGGGAATCTTGACCTCTGATCTGTTCAGCTTGGGGGCTAAAGACACATCATGGCCTTCTCCAATTTGAAGAGACTCTTGTTCGGCAGGCTGAGGCAAAGAGGAAGTCCAGGAACCAGCGAAATCTGGGGGGTGGGCAGGGGACAAAATGTATCTGTCCTCAGTGTGGAAGGGATTTCCATTCCCGAATTGGACGTTTTAGCCATACCAGATGCTGCGTTAGGACCTCTTTCCAGAGCACGACACTATAGTCTTTTGAGAATGAAGGATGCCAATGCTTTGCCTACATGATTGAGGAGCCGAGGTGGCGCAGTGGTTAAGGTGCAGTACTGCAGGCCACTTCAGCTGACTGTTATCTGCAGTTCAGCGGTTCTAATCTCACCGGCTCA